GTCTTGCTAAATCAATCAGATTTTTATTTTCACTGAAACTCCGTTTGGGTATTGGTTAGCCTACAATTAGGGTGTAGAAATGTTAGGATTATTTTGCTCTTCACTCACAGTTGTTTATTAGCCTAGGCCTACTCCCGACCGGTCACATTGTACAGCGCAATATATTTTCCTGACGGAAACCCTGAGGCCTACATAGGCTACTGTAAAATGCATTTGAGTTTTTTTTGTAATAATATAAACACCATAATATTAATCAATTTAATTAAGCAACATTTCTAACAGCATAAACAGCACAACAAATACTCCGTGCTCGGTCAGGCTGCATTCTTCAGTTATTGCCGTTCTCACAATATCCTCCAACATGTTTCATACTCTCTTCCAAGCCTAACAGTTCTCCTTCTTCTTCGCCGTCCAGCCCAACTCCCACTGTCACGCCCTGGCTCTAGGGACTCTTTTAAGTTGAGCCAGGGTGTGCAGAGTTTATGTTTTGTGCTCGTTGTGTCTAGTCTATTTTTTGTATATCTATGTTGGCCAGAGTGGTTCTCAATCAGAGGCAACGAGTATCAGCTGTTGCTGGTTGTCTCTGATTGGGAACCATATTAAGTCAGGTGGTTTTCCCACAGTGTTTGTGGGATCTTGTTCATTGTTGGTTTGTGTTTTGCACCTGTGGACGTCACGTATCGATTTGTTTTTTGTTCGTGTATCATTTAATAAATAAGTATGTTCACCTTCCACGCTGCGCCTTGGTCCTCTATATCCGACGATCGTGACACCCACTCACATTGCCAAACAGCAACACAATGTAATCTCAACTTGCCCTACGCTCACACATTACCAGGTAGTAGTCTTATGATTCTAACACATCTCACACAGTTTCAGAGTATAATAATTAGTCACTACCAAGAAAGTACTAATCATACTTAAAACAATTACATTTCACAACTCTATTTAAGGGTGGAACATTTAGTCATTACTTTTAACCTGTATATATATTTTAATTTCTATATCATTTTGATAGCTTGCTACTACTATAATTGATTTTCTTAAAAACAATATGTTTCTTGCCCTTGATGTATTTATTAGAGTTGTTGACCTCACAATAAGCCAGATTGAAGTAATTTACATTGTGGTGCTGAAACTTGAAAAAGCAGCCATGGCACAATCAATCGGAAATAAATAAGAGGTAGGCCTACCTGTAAGACAGACAAAATTAGACTATATGCTGCTATATCCATACATTTGTCGGTCAATTCCTCCACCCACCATGCACTCTTTAAATAGCCTACCTCCGTGTCAGTGAAGGGCTGTTAAGTTAAAACCAAGACTTGAATTGGGAGGAATGAGAGGGTATACCATAGGCCTACCTTTTATTAAAGAAAATTGCAAAAAGCACAGTTAAAAATTTGGATGAAAATAAAACGGATCCAATTATATAAAGTGATCTATAACAGCGCTTTGGTCCGCGATACTTTATGCTAGAAACAAACTTTACCTGGGAAAGATGTGACTCCGATGCGTATGGGGATATCATTGTTAAAACGGCTCTCCTGTGAAGTAGTGACCCTTAACATACGCCTAGTTTCCTGAAACCGGTCACATATATATACATTTTTACCCCTTTTTTCTCCCCAATTGGTAGCTACAGTCTTGTCCCATCGCTTGTCCTCCAAAACACGACCCTGCCAAGCCGCACTGCTTCTTGACACACTGCCCGGAAGCCAGCCGCACCAATGTCGGAGGAAACACCGTACAACTGGCGACAGTGTCAGCGTGGAGTCGCTAGTCGCATCCTGGCCGGCCAAACCCTCCCCTATCCCGGATGAGGCTGGGCCAATTGTGCACCGCCTCATGGGTCTCCCAGTTGCGACACAGCCTGGGATCGAACCAGGGTCTGTAGTGACGCCTCAAGCACTACAATGCAGTGCCTTAGACCGCTGCACCACTTGGGAGTCCAGTTTTTGAAATATTTAGGACTGTCTTATTCCTTGCCACCCATTATGAAACTTACTGCAGCTCTTTGTTAAGTGTTGCAGTGATTTCACTCGCTGTAGTAGCTTACATGTATAGTGTTGATTCATCCGCATACATAGACACACTGGCTTTACAATTAGTAAAGATTGAAAAAAGTAAGGGGCCTAGACAGCTGCAATGGAGAATTCCTGATTCTACCTGGATTATGTGGGAGAGAACATGCCTACCGTTTTCATGGAATGCTTTTACTATAAAGGAGATCTTTCCACCCCTATTCTTGTCCACGGTGGTCAGCGAACCCACAACCTTCTGGCCCTTCTGTGCGCTATCAAATGACATGTAATGCTTACAGGACAAAGAAACAATTTCTAAAACTGCATATCTAAGGCTCTGGTCTATCCAATAAGTGAGGGTAAATGGTAGGCATGTTCTCTGCTATCCACTTTTTTAAATTAGTATTTTGGAAATAGGGGAGGGTCACTTTTTTTTTTTAAGCCTTCAGGGAGGGTTTAGATAAAATATGTCTTGCTGAAGGGAGAGCCATCCATTTTCATTTCAGAGAGATCCGATTTTCTCCATGTAAGCCTTATTATAAATAATGTTCACTCCCTAATTACTTTAAAAGTGGCATTAATAATTATGTGGGAACTGTTTGAAGGCATATTGTTCTATCTAGTGCTTAAAAATAACTACCATTAAGATTCACCCCTTGAAAGTAAAACTTGGTAACATTTCTTGGCAGAGGAATTTTGTTGTTGAGTTGTTTACCAGAGGTTATAGATGTAGGCCTATCCAAACAAGTTGGGCTGTTGGTGTGAGTAAAACCAACTCCATATTTAACCCTTTGAAACGTACCAACAAACGGGTGTGATCATTCTACAGTGGTCGCTGCAGTGTACGCTAAACCGGTGTGATTAGAACGCTTATTTAGAATGTCCAGTTTTGATTAACGCAACAGTCAGAGTTTGAGCTGGCCACTGTTTTTTCACAGAAAATTTTTCCACAAACACAGTCCTTAAAAAGATTTGTCCTGAATGTGACCTGTTTATTTTTGGATGCAATGTTCAGACATTGACAGAAGTAGTGACAGCATAACACAATCATCCAATCCGGAAAATGTAGGCTACATTAGTCCTAGCGCTAACTGAGGAAAGATTGACATAACACAAGCGGTCATATTTAGCTAACTCTCGGCTGACAGAAACCACAATATAAATTAGCTAATAGCAATGACTATTTACAATTCATCACATCACGGGTGAACTCACCATTGATCAAAATAATTTACTAAAACACTTTATAAAAATCGAAAGTAATTTGACGATGGGTAGTTTGTGCGTGCCACCATATTTGTTATTTCACGTCAACCAAAGATAATAAGAGGAGACAAGAAGAGTTTGGTCTGTTTGCAGTATGTATGTTGAAGGGGGGGTGTCATCTACGATCATTCACTTCCCTTCACTCACTTCCGGAAGTTTACTCGAAAGACGAGTGAACCATTCCTTCACCTCATTTTAATATCTTTGTTTTGACAGGAGTTTACATAACACCCAGAATGCATTGTACAATGTCAACAGTAGCTAGGATGGGGAGAAGTTTGTCTATAATAATGCGCTGCTCTGCATTCTTAACAGCACTATCAACAAGGCAGGTCCTACAGGCCCTAGTTTTGTCACACCTGGACTACTGTTCAGTCATGTGGTCAGGTGCCACAAAGAGCCACTTAGGAAAATTGCAATTGGCTCAGAACAGAGCAGCATGGCTGGCCCTTGGATGTACACAGAGAGCTGACATTAATAATTCATGTCAATTTCTCCTGGCTCAAAGTGGAGGAGAGATTGACTTCATCACTACTTGTATTTGAAAGAGGTATTGACATGTTGAATGCACCTAGCTGTCTGTTTGAACTACTGGCACACAGCTCGGACACCCATGCATACCCCACAAGACATGCCACCAGAGGTGTATTCACAGTCCCCAAGTCAAGAACAGACTATGGGAGACGCACAGTACTACATAGAGCCATGACTACATGGAACTCTTTTCCACATCAATTAATTCATGCCATCAGTCAAATTAGATTTAAAAAACACATAAAAATACACCTTATGGAACAGCGGGGACTGTGAAGCAACACAAACATAGACACATGCATACAAACACAAGATAACATACGCACTATAAACACATGTACACATGGATTTTGTGTTAGATATGTGGTAGTAGAGTAGAGGCCTGAGGGCACACACTTAATATGTTGTGAAATCTGTTATGAATGTATTGTAATGTTTTTAAAATGTATAACTGCCTTAATTTTGCTGGACCCCAGGAAGAGTATCTGCTGTCTTGGCAGCAGCTAATGGGGATCCATAATAAATACAAATACAAATACTTAATGTATGCTACAGTAGAAACGACAACACGATATAAGGCACTTACTTTGATAGGAACGCACACATGTCCAAAGTTATTATTGGTAAGGAAAACAACAATGAAGGCAATGAGAGCGGCATCCAGAAAATGTGCCACGGGGAAAAAGTTAGTGTATGACTGCACAAATGTCTGCATACTTGATCTGCGGAAACACTGGGGAAGTGCTTGGGCTCTCCTCGAAGAGAGAAGTTTGTCCGGCTCAGTAAAGCCTTCTATGTGAATTAATGAGGAGGCGGAACAAACCTCAAAAGTTGAAACATAGTCTATAGATAATTAGCAGGCAGCATGGGTTAACTGTCCTGTTGAGTAACAATCACATTTTGGAACAGTGAGTGCATTCTGACATCACGTGCATAAAACAACTCACGCTGGAGCAACCGTTAGCGATATTTGGAACTCACACGTGAAAAGGTTAACAGTAAAATGCTAGACATAACAGTATGTATTTGAACTGGGTTCAAATACATTTTATGTAACTTTACCTGAAACATTTATCCAGGTATATCTGCAAGTGTCTAGTGGGCAAGCCCAAACTCTTCTTCATCCAGATGAGGACTAGAGCCTAACCTGGGCTGGACAGATCCACTAAACCCAAGCTTTTGTTCTAGCTAGGCTTGATTGAAGCACTTATTGTTGAGCTTAGATTCCTAACCTTATAGAAGAGGTAGATGTGTTGTCTTTAAATTAACCTTTCTATTTTGTCTATTATGTCTTGCTCAGTAAGAAGAATAAGGATGGCCAGACGCGGGAGCAGGACTACTTTTCTGAAAGCCATTACAGAATTGTTTCACCAACATTCCAGTATAAGATGAGCCACCAGCGAGTGGGCAAGTGCATCATCATCAACAAAAACTTTGACGAAAAGACGGGTATGGCATCACCTTTTACATTGACTTGGATACATGGTTGTCTAACACATCTATATCATCCACAGCTATTCACACCGTTTTATTACATTTATACAACAAATGTATGTAACACGGTTACTCTTAATAAGATTGTTAATTTCCATACATCCCATTAGATATTGCTTGATTTAACAAGTGGCCTATTGTATAACACTGTGTAAGCTATACACTGTACATGTTGAGTATAGTGAATGTGAATGCTGTTTATATTGTTTGTCAGGGATGGTTAAACGGAATGGCACAGATCGAGACGCAGGCGAGTTGTTCAAGTGCTTTAAGAGCCTGGGCTTCGACGTCTGCATCTACAAAGACCAGACCTGTCAGAAGATGGAGTGTCTTCTCAGAGAAGGTGAGCAACACACTGGGTAGACATTGTCCTTCGGCCTTACATAAGTATCTATTCAGTGAGAGTAACCTGTCTCACTGTCGCCCCCTGTTGTTCCAGTGCGGGACATTTTCAAACAGGGGGCACCAACAGTCCATCACATTCACTGTGGCAGGTTTAATACTCATAAACCTGCCTGTTTTAGTGCTGTTACTTAGATCCCCTGATTTCCATTTGCCTGTATACCTGAGTAGCTATTTTGCCTTTTTTTAACATACTTTTTTATTGAAATCCTACAAACATAAGGGTTACAATAAATAGGAAACTGGTAATGCCAATGCATTAAAAAGTTTATTTAAGCCTATGTCAATTGCAATTTTAAAAAATGTGCGCGTGTGTCCTAGCCTCGGAAAAGAACCACAGCTCCTGCTTTGTCTGCATCCTGCTGAGTCACGGTGAGGAGGGTATAATCTATGGCACTGATGGAGCCATGCCCATCAAGAGCATTACCTCACTCTTCAGGGGTGAAATGTGCAAGAGTCTAGTGGGCAAGCCCAAACTCTTCTTCATCCAGGTGAGGACTAGAGCCTACCCTGGGCTGGACAGATTGACTAAACCCAAGCTTTTGTTCTAGCTAGGCTTGATTGAAGCACTTATTGTTGAGCTTAGATTCATAACCTTTAAGAAGAGGTAGATGATAAATCATGGTGAGATATTGTTAGTTGGCACCTAACTGGTAACAGAACGTGAAAGGTTGTCTAACCCTGGAAGACAAGATGCTGATTTTCTTTTTTATATGTTTTGATATTTTTGAATTTTAGATTTTAGGTGGGGACTATTAGGTCCTAGGCAAACTAGATAGCTTACAACAGTGTTCACCAACCTTTTCTGAGTCAAGATCACTTTCGTAGTCAAAAAGCAAGCCGAGATCTACCGCTCAGAACTGTTTTTAAACATGACTTACATTGTTTTACATTAACCTAATAAATACTGTTCTGTAGGAATTAAGTTTGTGCAGTAGGCCTAATACATTATCACAGTATATTGGCTATATGCCTGGCCTTCCAATATTGTTCTTCTCAGACCATATCTTATTTCAAAACTCGAGCTTTGATAACAAAATAGATCAGTTGGTGTAACACTTGCGAGGCACAGCTGAGCATAAATTAAAATAATTTGCATTTACATTTACATTTTACATTTTAGTCATTTAGCAGACGCTCTTATCCAGAGCGACTTACAGGAGCAATTAGGGTTAAGTGCCTTGCTCAAGGGCACATTAACGTCATTTAGCAGACGCTCTTAGCCAGAGCGACTCACAAATTGGTGCATTCACCCTATAGCCAGTGGGATAACCACTTTACAATTGGGGGGGGGGGGGGGGGGGGGTAGAAGGATTCCTTTATCCTATCCCAGGTATTCCTTAAAGAGGTGGGGTTTCAAATGTCTATTTGCAAATAGCTTTTTTAATTTTACTGGACTAATGGTACCTGCATCTGATGGTCATGGTGCTTTCAAGACAACTGGGAACTCGGGAAAAAGACTTGGTAAAATCATGACGTCAGGGATCTTCAGGTCGGAAAGTCTGCGCTCTAGAAAGATGCCAGAGTTTCGGACTTGGAATTCCGAGTTGGATGACTGTTCAAAAATATTTTTTACAGTTGGATCTCGTTTTTTTCCGAGTTCCCAGTTGTCTTGAATGGACTGAAGTGGGAAGTCAGAGATTTCTGAGTTCCCAGTTGTTTTGAACATGGCATTACTCTCAGCGGAGGGAGGGAAAGAGCAGCAGAGGGTCAGCCTCTCACGGTCCCTGTGCTCTCCTTCCTTTCCTCCTGTGAGACTGACCTGATGGCAAAACTCGAGTCGCACCACATCTGCCTCATGCACAAATTCATGTTCTTCATGTGACCAGAGAAAGCAAAATATTCCATGATATTAAAATAGACACGAAGAGCTGCTGCTAATAATACAAACGCAGGGCTATCGATACACTTGGCTGCTCATTCATTGAAGCTGCAGCACTAGTGGAAGTAGGGAGAAGTGCGTTTTATGTTTTATAAGTGTTGAATAAAAACAGTGTTTATAGAAGAGGTAGATGATAAATTATGGTGAGATATTGTTAGTTGGCACCTAATTGGTAACAGAACGTGAAAGGTTGTCTAACCCTGGATAAAAAGTTAGACATGAACTCACTTATAAAAACAGCAGCTCTTTGCTGTATTCTTTGACAGTCTCTCTCTGGTCATGGTTTTAAAAGTTATGAAATCTCACGTAGGCTAGTATCAAACTTTGCTGTGGCCGGGGTCATGAATTTAGCCACAGATCTCCCAGTCCGCCAGGTAGGCTGAGTTTGTCTTTTCAGACAAATGACACCCTGCGCCTACCCGGGTGCGCAGGGTTCTGAATCAAGTGCACCTACCGCCAACAGCGCAATATGAGAAAAAAAACAGCGCAAGCCTTTATGCCTTTATCGTTGGCTTTTCTACAGAAATGTTTGGTGGCTGCTGAGGGGAGGATGGCTCATAATAATGGCTGGAACGGAGTTGATGGAATGGCATCAAATCTTGTGTTTGATGTATTTGATACCATTCCACTTATTCCGCTCCAGCCATTACCACGAGCCCGTCCTCCCCAATCAAGGTGCCACCAACCTCCTGTGCTAGAAATGCCTTGAAGTTCGACTGGTTGGTGACTACTGGCTTACACAATATCTGTAAGTAAGCTGTGCATTTGGGTCTTTCTATAATTAATGGGGCCAATGTGTGACATTGGGATAAAAATGTCTAAATGGTTTGAAACAAAAATAATAATACAATTATGCAGTTCCATATGGAATAAAAGTGAATGCAAATTGACCCAGACTACAGCTATACAACAACATAGGCCTCCCTAAAGTCGATATCCGCGCACCCGCGGAAATCAATTAGCATAATAAACGAATCCCCATAAAAATCTGTCAGTTTAAGCTAGAGATATCAGTTTTTTTGCATTGGATGTGTCTCAATCCACCACTTTCGCCTATGTAACACTTCCACATCTGCGGTGAAAGGTGACAGAGCTAGAACGGTGTTTGTCAGATCATGAGACATGCCGAAAAATCGGTCTTCTTACAAAATCATCTGTAGAGTCCAACGGTGTGGCCTACAAACTCTGGTGTTCTCTGTTTTGCTCTACGACCCCTCGTTCAGCCACGTAGTATGTGTCACAAAACGAGTCTGAAAACATAGGTGTCTGAATCTCCTATAAATTACTTTGTCCCGATGTACTATTTAGCCACATTTTAAAGGGGAAGTGATGTGACTCGTCTGAAATCGGTACAACCGATCTGCCAACTTCTTTCTGTAGCGTCCAAACTATTTGGGCTACACACTAATATGACCTCTCTGTGGAAAGGTGAGACTCTCACGAACACGTTGGTTGTTTTGCTCTAGGATGACCACAATACTCATCTGAAGGTTCTCCGGTACCAGTTAAAATGTTTTTACGGAAGTACAGTATATATGTGACTCTTTTCAGGAAACTATGCGTATGTAGCGTGTCACTACTTAACAGGAGCGCCATTTGAACGTAAAGTTTTTTAACAAATCTAAATGTATTTTTTGGCAGAAATGCCTTCTGGAACATGTGAACTTTCATGTGCCTTAATAACAAACTTGTATGCCATCTGTAAATATGAATAAATTGTTAAATTAAGAGTTGGTTTAGCCACGGAAAAAGACAGAAACCTTCCCGCTAGCCATGATTGGCTGAGATAATGAGTGGGCTGGACATGCCGAGAGTTGAGTTCGGATTGGCATGTAGCACGCTTCTTTCCATAACATGTGTAGGTAATCCTTTCTAACATGTATTTTTTTAAAAGATATCACGTAGTAGATTTGCATAAGTGTTGCTCTCCACTTTCTGGAGGACCGAGTTTTGAAATCAGTGGAATTAGAGTATGATAGCTAAGAAGATGGAGAAAAGTCTGGCGTTTGATTGCAAATATGCAGACTGAGTCGAAAAGAGAACACACAGAAGGCTGTTGTATAAAACACCTGTCTCCGGATTACATCTTCTTCAAACTAAGGGCAACCATGGCATCCGTGACAGAGAGGGAGAAGCGTCCATCCATGTATACGGGTAAGAGAGTCTAGCTAGCTACATTTTCAGATATTACACATTTCTAATTTTGACAGAAAGGAGTTTTAATTTCAAGTTAAAGTGTACTATTAGCTAGCTAGCTAACGTTAGCTGGCTGGGTAGCTAGCTAACGTTACGTGTATTATCTGAGTAGTAATATTATTCGTATCTCAGAGCCATTTGCATTGCTAGTTATAGCCTAGTGTTAGCTAGCTAACATTGAAGTTGGTTGGTTAGCTACCTGCAGATTCATGCAGGGTAGTAACGTTATGAGTTGGGATTATGATTCATTGTTTAGCTAGCTAGCTACATGTCTAAACAAAAGACTCCACTATGCAAGTAACCATTTCAATACAATGTTCATGGTGTCACTGCGACAACTGTCGGTAGATGTAGCTGGTAGGTTCGCTCTGGCTATCAACCTTACTCCTCGGTCAGAGCGTCCAGTGTGCGATCTGAACGCTCCAAGACCGAAACGCTCTGAGTTTACGAAAGGACAATCTGACAACGCTCTGAGTTTACGAACGCCCAGAGCACACTCTGGCATTCCAGATTAAATTTACGAACACACCCGTAGTATAAACCAACCTTTAGTCTTGAAATCTTTGGTTGTTTAGTACATAGCCTCACATGTGAATCCTTAAAGAGATGGGTGGGGCTAAAGCTTAAGAGGGTGTGAACGATGCTGAATGGCTGTAGACAAAGAAGTGGACTCCAGTAGGCACCAAAACATTCAAGGGCCATTTTCACAAAAGTGAGGTTACAAGTTGATCAACTTTCAAAGCAGAATTACTTTCCCATTGTTCCTCAACTGTAGTGTATGATATACCATTTTCTAGCTCTAAGTCTCTACTTTTATCCAATGTAAAAAACACAATTTCAATTTTTGCTACATAAGACCGAATCGAGCCGGTCGGTCACATATGGCGACTGTTTAGTTCCAAAAATAAGGGGTTAAATACATGTCCAAAAAAAAACAAATGTTTCCTTATCTGTCTTATATCTCTCAGATATAGGACAGACACTTCAGAACAAACTTCCTTTAGATTTTTTGGGGGGACATTCTGTTGTTCCGTGTAGTGAATCTGTTTTTCAATGCATTTGTATGGGCTAATAGCAGTAAGGCCAAAAATACTTTTTCATCAAATAATTGTATATTCAGGGGACTTACATTTTCAAAATCAAAGAGCAAAATGATCCTTGGTATGACCTTTTTAAAACAATTCCATATAGCTTAGACAGTGCTTAGACTCTTAGTCAGGGTTCATACAGACATTGGCAAGTCAAATTTAAGGATTTCAGGGACTTTTTCAAGAACTTAATTGTAATTTTCAAGGACCTCAATGTTATACAATTGTATAAGTTATATAATTGTAGATATAGGGTCTATTATAGAACCCCTCTCCCCAAATATGCATGCAAAGAGTGCAAAAAAAAGTAGGCCATTACCAC